CTCTTAATAGATTAGTGACACAAGCGCAGTGGAGGAAGGAGCAACAAAATTTGATTTTAGAGTAATACTAAGTAGATAACGAATAAAGCGATTAGAATGTGAAGACGATGATAAGGAACAAATTAATGCCGTTTTAATCGGAATGCTAGATAGTTTATCTGTAAGTACATTATTTAATTACCGTATATGCTAAAAATGATAGCTATGATAATAAAAATTTATAATTATTACTATGATAATTAATATGTGAAAACATTAAGAAAAAAAAAAATAAATAAACAATGAGAAACGATCAAAATATACAATATTAAATCATAAAGGATAGTCTTTGTGTAAAAAACTTAAAAGGAAAAAAAATAATAATAATGACACTAGGAAAATTTAAAATAAGATTCAATTATATCCTATTAACTGGTGATAATAATGATATACATCAACCCTTATGTGGGGCCCATATAATAATTTTAATAATAATGATAAAGATAATAATAACAATAATAATAATAATAACTATGAATAAATATGCACAGTATCCACACTATGCACCTATGTAGAATAATTGTGGAACAGCAATAGAAATAAAAATAATTGCCCTAGAACTTAGACGGTAAATAATATTAAAAAAAAATAAAATAATAATAATAAATAACATAACATAATGTTGATAAATGGCACCTAATCTTATTAATAATCTAAGACAAACATTGCCGCGCATTAAATAAACTGACTGAGTAATAATTATACTCATATATGCGCACATACATAATAAAAATTCCATAAATGTACTACTGCCTTTGTTAACTTAAAAATTTATATCTGAACTAGTATTGTATTTTTATTATTATTTAAACCTCTAGTCGAATTTTTCTATGATCTCGGTAATGATGAATTATTATTATTATTTTATAATTGATACATGTTAAGACTTTTATTGACCAAATAAAGGATGTCTATGTGATATGTGAATTAATTTAAGTGATGGTATTTATTTGTTAATAATAATAATTATAATGATAATTAATAATATTATTTGTTTTATTAATGAATTAATGTGTTTAGAATAGTTAATTAGTATTGTTTGACAGAAGTACATTAAATGGAGCTAATAATCAAAATAACGCACGCACACCTGTGTAAAACCGAATAATATATGTATGTGTATGTATATAGATATATAGGTATGCATACATATATAAATATATATATAGATAACAGAGCACTGCATTAAATTAGCGTAACTATGTGTAAAAAAAAAATTGAAAAAAATATTATGATAAAAAAAAGCAAAAAATGAATAAATAATTTAACAAAAATATAAATTTCATAACTTCAACCTACAGAAATGATATAAATATATAAATATAATTATAAATAATTAAATCAATACATGGATATTGATAATAATGATAGCAATTATTATTATTATTAATAATATTTTAATTATAATTATTATAATTGTTGTTATTATTATTAATATTGATATAATAATAAATGAATGACTAGCTAATAAATAATATTTATGTAATTATATTGTTGCATAAATATGCATATTACGGGTAAGATTAAATATGTATATATCGTATGCATAAATAAATAAAAATAAATAAACAAAATAATAAATGATTAATGTTGTGACATACATTAATTACCGTACGTACATTTAACAGCAATTAAAAAAAAAAATATATGTCAAAATCTCGTATTTTTTCCGATATCAAATCCAATAACTTAGAAAAAAAAAATTTTAAATGCCGATTCTAATTTCCGGGGATTAAATTATTGGAATTGTCTCAGTGCGCGGCTCTTCTCTGAACAAAAAAATTTTTTTAAAAGACATCAGTGTATGATTAGCGAGAAATAATTAGGAAACAAATAAATATGGGTAATTATGATTAATCATATGTGAATATGTAGTTAATTATAAGTAAAATCGTGGAAATCACACACAAGGTGTGATTTGAAAAAAAAAAAAAATAAAGTGAAAAATTAAACACCAAGTTATATTTTATTAATTTGTATGTTTTTTGATTAATAATATATTTAATGAACTTGTTTAGATTTTTATATTTAAATAATGTGTATGAATAATTGAATTGATAAATAAGTGATGTTTATTTAAATTTGTAAAAAGAATTTTTTGTAAATTGAATAATGTTTTTTGGTTATTATTTACTTTATTGTAAAAATATTAAAATATATATTTATTAGGATTTTATTATTATAATTATAATTAAATATATAAATATATAAATAAATGAATAAATAAATAATTAGTTACTGGTAAATGTGTAATTAATTTAAATGAAATTTATCAAAAATGTGGAAACAATTAAAAGCAATCATGTAAAAAAAAAAAAAATCTTTTTAAGTAATTAATGTATTAGATTTTTGTATACTGAAGCTAAATATTATTAATTATATTTATTATTAATATTAAATTTTCAGTCCCTGTTTTTTATTATTGGTTTAGACTTTACCACGTGAGTTTTGACGAGTCCCAGTTTATTGTGGCATATCACTGATGATAATAAAGCCCGAAAAAAAAAATAATAAAAAAAGAAAGGAATAAATAAAAATAAATGAATAATAAAAATGATAAATGAATGAATAAACAGAAGGAAAATAATAGAGTTGAGTGCACTTATCAGTGAGATATTAAATATTCTTCCGGTCTGCCAAATAAAAAAAGGTAATTTTTTTTATGCACTCGAGGCTAATACCGAAGATTTAAATAAATGAATAAACAAATAAACAAACAATATGAGCGAAATTAAAATAAAATGTTTAAGATCGGTATGATTTAAATATACATTCAATAAAACGTTTAAATATTAAATAAACAATGCGAGATATTGCGTACAAGAATTGAAGTAATAAATAAAAAAATAAATAAAATAATAAAAAATGAAATGCTCGAAAAATCAAAAAAATCACAATCTAATTTGATACATAATCACCCTATTAAGTATATATTTAAAGTAACCATACCTAGCCACACAACGTACCTATATGTATATGCTCATATATATATTATAAAGTATATATATATTATATATATACATAATAGGAGATGTATAGAAAAGTATGTCATACTTGTATACACCGAAATGCAATAGGCAAATAAATGCCAAGAAGGTGGTGTGTGATTAAATATTTAAAATATTTAATTTAAAAATAAAACTAAACAATTCATGTATGATATTAAGTATGTAAATCTATATAAAGACATATATGTATAACATAGCATTATTTAACAGAATATGCGATATAAATAAAAGTGAATACAAAATAACACATATATGTATGAAATAAAATAAAATATTAATTAATAAACAAATATATATATATATATATATATAAATAATATTGATTAAGCTAACAAAATATAACGGATAACACATTTAAGATAAGATAATATTAATGTATGGTTGATTTATAATGTAAAATATATTATAGAAAATGTACTTTCATTTTTTCTCCTTCTTAATCCTTTTATCCGTAATATTTTAATTTTAGTTTGATAATATTGTAATATTAGTGTATTAATTGCATGAGGTAAGTGATGTTTTTTAAAAAAAAAATTTAACAAGTTAAATTTCATTTTTAGTCTTCGATCCTAAATTATTTGATTGAAATAGTTGAGGAGTTGAGTTTCAAAAGGGTATCTTTTCATTTTTGATTAATCGAAACAAAAAACTGGTTGTCTTCAATTATAAATATTTTTATTGAACTTTTTTAATTTAGCTATAAAGCGCTATCGGTTATGAAGCTACAATTCGATTTTCATTTAGAAATCTTTATAATTCTTGAAGTAATTAATCCCTGATAAAAAAAAGTATTGAGACAAAGAAAAAAGTATTGAAAAGTATTGGATTGACTAGCTTTTCAATACTTTTTTCTTTGTCTCAATACTTTTTTTTATTCAGGGATATTTAAAAGTTCAAAAAAATGCTCTTTTAAAATTCGAAAAGATACCCTTTTGAAAATCAGCTTCTTAGTTGTGCAATTAGTTTAAAGAAGTAACTTCTTTATCGGCTGCCCAATTTCAAAACACAGTAACTGACAATTTTAAGATTTTTAAAAATTTTTTTTATTAAAAAAAAGTTTGCGCGCCTAATTAATAAAAAATTTCATCTATGAATAGAAAATACTTGAAAATATTTTTAAGAAAAAATACTTGAAATTAAGGTCTAAAAGTTATAAGAAATGCAGCAATACTAAAAAAAAATCAGGTATAAAAATTTTGCAATTACTGTGTTTTAAAATTGGGCAGCCCAGTCTATCGGCAAGAAAAAGACACCAACAGGTTATGGGTATTGGTTTCTTTCTCACGCACTAGTGCTGCCTCTCTTTACAGACTATCGCTCCCTTACTTCCACTCACGGAAAATATCGAAAGTCGCTAACTTCAAACATTTTTTATAAAAAAAAAAATTCCGCTCGTTTATGTTATTTTTAATAAAAAATACTTGTCTTAACTTCAATTAAATATTCTCAGTTTTTCAAAAAAATCCCAAGAAAAGTATGGTTGTTATTCAATAAAATGTTCACTCTAACTACGGTCAGAATAGGGAATTCATGTTAGATGTACGATTTTTAATTGCTAATATTTCAAAAATTAGCACCGCAAGGACTATTAAAAAAAATTTATTTGTATAGAGGACACTTAAAAGTACGCGTACTCAAAAATGGAAGAATATTGTAAGAAAAGTAATTTTTCACGAAATCTCCTAAAGTAAAATAATTAGTTAATGAAATTTTATCTTTAATTAGTCGGAACTAAAGTTTTAAAATAAATTAACGAACAAGTTATACTTCTAGAATCAAATTTATTAATAAAAAACTCTATAGTTGAAAACTGACATTTGATAAGTTAACTTAACTCTATAAAACGACTTTTCGATACAAAATTTATTAATAAACGAGATTACAGTTACTCCTTCGTTACATTATCAGATAACTAATAATATAACTAATAATCATCGCTGTTATTCAACGACTTTATGACTTGTTTTTTTCTTGTTGCTTAATCCTGTAGTCTGACAGCGCCGCTTTGATTGCATCTTCAGCAAGCACTAAACAATAATTATTATTATTTTTGTTGATATTATTCATCAAAAAAAAATTTGGAATAAATAATCTACTAAATATAATTAACTCACTCGAACAGTGTAGCTTGACAGGTGGAAGGCAAAGTTCTTTAGCAATGTAAGTATTTTTCAAAGCCAGGGCTTCGTCAACCTTAATAGCAATAAATAATGATTTAAAAAATCAATAATGATCTAATGAGTTAAAAAAAAAAAATTATTTATAAATGATTGTAGTAATTATTTACAGTTTTTCCTTTAACCCACTCGGTAGCGAGAGAACTTGACGCAATAGCAGATCCACAGCCAAAAGTTTTGAATTTAGCATCCACAATTTTACCATCATCATCGACTTTTATCTGCAACTTCATAACATCTCCACATGCTGGTGCTCCAACAAGACCAGTGCCGACTTGCTTGTCATTCTTATCCATCGACCCAACATTCCTTGGGTTTTCATAATGATCCAATACCTGTATTTATTATTCATTATTAATTACCAACTAAGTGATAATAATGATAATTATTACTATATATTGAGACGACGTTAAAGTTAAATCACTTGACAAACAAATTTGTTCAAAAAAATTATTTTAAAAAAATTGCACTTTTAATTTTGTTAAATTTCTACGTGTCTACTTTTTTTTTTTTCTAATTTTCTTTTACACAAATTTATTTCTTTAAAAATGACATTAAAGTTAGCAGTCGCTTGACAATTTTTTAATTTTCTTTAATAAATAAATATGCTCCGAAAAATCATTTCTAAAAAATTGGATTTTTTATTTTTCTAATTTTATAAATGTCATTTTTTTTTCTCATTTTCTTTGACATAATTTATTTGTTAAAAAAATTTGGAAAATTATAAAATTTCTGCTAAATTAAGTTTCATTCTTTAAAAATTGTTAAATATCTGCTAGTTTAATTTTCATTACATTGAGTTGTCATTGCAAAATATTGAGAAACAAAATAAATATAATTTACCAAGAAATATTTATAAAAATACTTACGTTCGCGTGATAAAAAACACAAGGAACACTGCGAGATACTAATCTTGAAGATTCGAGAAGCTTCAATGGCAATGCACGGCACAAAGCCATAATTTATCAAATTTTTAATTTTTTAACAATATCAGCCGGATTATAAATATTTACTGCTTACTAGGGTTACGTTTTTATCACTGAACTAAGGTGTAATGATCACTCCGCAGCTAGAAGATTATCAACTACGCAGTTAGAAGTCACTGCCAGAGACACTTAAAATGGCCGCCAGTTTTGGCGCCAATTCTGTCTAATGAATATTCGAGACTTGTATGTTGAAAAAAATGGAATTTTTGGGTGATTTTTAATCAAATATTCGATAGTTCAATTGAATATTCATGGAGAATAACATTATTTATTAATTAGATTTAAGTTATTGAAGTATAAGTGACTTACCAAACTGGAATCGTACTGCGCATTAGATAAAAGCTGACTCGGAAATTAAAACTGACACAAAATGTTTATTAATATTTATAATAAAGTAAAAAAATTTTTAAATGAATAAAATTTGTATTTAAAAAAAAAAAAAATATATAATTAAGCACTTTCTAAATAAAAATCAGACACTACACTCGATATTTAACTTGAAAACACGGACGCGACTTCAAAATTACCGGCACTTGTTATTTTGACACAAAAAATTTAATATTACAATAACATCTATTTAAAATATGAAATTAATTTACTTTTAAACTTTAATTATGAAAATTAAGTTAGCCGACATCTTAAAATTTTAGAATTTTTTTTTATTGAAAAAATTAAAAAAAAAATTTCATCTATAAAAAACTTTAAAAACTGTAAGTGCAATTTTTAAAAAATATTTTTTTGTTTTAATTTAACTATTAAAAAAAAATTAGAAACGTCGGCTAACTTTATTATTATGAATTAATTTATAAAAACTATTAATATCAAAGTTAATTTTACGAATCACTAAATAAAGAATGAACCACTAACACACCCATTTCAGAGATGATAATTTACTGAAAGTCGGCTGCAGAATCGGCGCTTCTGCGCGGTACGTCTTCTTTTAAACACTCCTGCCGGGAGTAGGAGTGGGGGGTGATACTCCCCACTCCTGCTGCTGTTTGATTTGGCGGTAAAATTCAAACTAGTTAAAAAAAAATTAAGAAAATTTGAAGTTGATAACCGCAAGTTCTTCGTTACCGAGGATGAAGTGTTAAAAATATAAATGTCAGCTGATATTTTTTTATTGAATGTAAATAAAACAAAGAACTACTGTTTAAGTTAATACAATGACTATTATTTACTCAGTTAAATAAATTTAATTTAATAGCAAATATTTATAAGCCGTTATTGTAGTTTATAATTAAAATAATTATGCAGAGTTCGTTTATTTTATCCGAGTACGAAGATATCAATGTTTTGTTATTAAAACCCATCGCTGCAACGCAGAGAATAAAGGTAATTATTATTAGATTGTTAATAATAAATTTAATCATCAAGTTGATTGATAAATTTTTTTTTTTTTTTTTTTAGTATACATGTTTCAATGTATCAACGAGCTACATCGCTCTTGGGTCTACTAGTGGTAGTATTTATTTATTTACACGCGAGCCATGTACTTTTCAACAAGTGATACCTCTATCAGTAAGTTATTTTAATTTTATTTATTTGAGATAAATTATATTTAAATAATATTCATTATTCATTATTATGAATGTAAATTTTAATTTTGTTTTTTTAATAAAGGAAGGGCCAGTTACTCACGTTCTGCTGTCACCTGACGAAAAAAATTTAGCATTGTCTACAAAACGGGGCAGTGTCTGTGTAATTAATATTAAACCTATTAAATTGATATCAATTATTTCAAATGAACACATTGATACAGTGATTACTTGTTTATGCTGGAATGACAGAAGTTCTGAAATTTATGTCGGTGACAACAATGGAAAAGTTTCTACTATTGTACTGTCTATTTTTACAGTAAGTTTTATTATTGTTATAATTTTAGGTTAATTTATTGTTAAAGTTATTTTTATATAATTATAGGAAAGTTTTTGTTCAATAATCTACATTATTGAGAGAATAAGAAAAATTTAATTTCCAGGATAGTCATGTAATAAAATCGGTTTTTTTAGTATCATTGCAAAGGTCTTGACTTAAATTTGTGCTTTTTCAAGCTTTTATTTAATTCTCACCGATGGTCAATTTATGATGATCAGTATTTAGGCTGCATTTGAAATTGCTCAATCTCTAGATACATAATTAAGAAATTACTTTGTATCTTATGAAATATTGACATTTTTAAAGATATAAGCTCACCCCGACATTACACTTATCGAAACCTTTCATTTGAGTACCCACATTAATTTTTCATATATTTGTATATATATATATATATATATATATATATATATATATATAGATATATATATATA